TCTTTATGAGTAAGCATTTATCTACACCAGGGGTCCCCAACATGCCTCAGCATGCCAACAACTAGTCCACACAAACAAGCAAAGCCCCACCTGCAGGATGCAGGCAGCACAAAAAAGCATGCACTCTCCGGTCCACAGAAAAACCTTTCTCCACGGAACTGGGCCCTGGTGCCCAAAAGATTGGGGACCTCTGATCTACACTGCTATCAAGAGCTACATGGCCAATCTGATCTTTTTTGCCATTATCTTGGGTTGTATCTGTAATCACAAAGAATATTAATTTCATTCCTGATAGAATTAGAAAGAATAGTAATTGCCTAATTCTGTAAACTAGGCCTCAGATACTTCATAGTTCCAGACTTTGTACTTAATAATTGTTCAGTGCAGGGTTACCTTTTGTAGGCAGGTTGAGAACTAAACAGAAATTTCTACAGGTTCACTCTTCCTGTATCTTCTAAAGGATAGCAAAATTCAGAAAAAGTCCAGGAACATTTTTCTGATTAATGCATTTGATTAAAAGGCTTATTTTCATGAGTTGCAGGCCACTTTATCAGATGCATAGAGTTCAAGCCTTTTAATAGAATTTGTTAGTCATAAAAGATACTATCAGATTTCATATGATTTTAATTTTATTTTACTATATAGACTAACAATGTTTCTAAACAATACATTAGTGGGAGCCAAGGTCAGTGTGACATGAGTAATTCTATCAACCACTTGTCTCCAAAAGCTGCCCTTCTTTGGATAACCTGTTCTGCTTTCTGAGTCAGTTTATTATTCAGCATCTACATAAAACTGCCACTCAACTGCCTCTCAGTTTCAGAAGAGATATTATGATGATGATGCTGGTTTGTTTCTGAATGCAATTCAAGGTGCTGGTTATAACGCCCTACTATGTGTTTGCAAGTTCTACATGCTCTGGACATGTTAATGGATCGGGCCCTACTAACGGTCCTCATCTATTGGGAGGTATGGTAGGAAGGGTCTGGAAACATCACTTATTATGCTGTCAGCCCTATGAGAAATAGAAGCCTAAAAACTACTTTTTTAAAGTAGAAAAATAAAACAGGGTTACATGAACATGTAACACTACAAATGACCATAAATGCAGTCCAGTTACTGAGCACCTGAAATGTGGTCATGTGACTATGGGAGGGAGTGTCCTGGGTCTAAATATCCCCGGGACAGTTGACTATAACTTTGAGTCTTTGTTAAGTTGAGGACATCCTCCACAAGCCTGTTTGTAAAATTATAAACCAAAATGATTTTCACATTAAATTAGCCATTGGAAAACCTGAAAGACATCAGCCTGTCATGGAGAAAATCTACCTATATGATCACTAGGAGTTGAAAACAACTTGATGGCACATAATTACATTAAGTTAAATGCTATATCAAATTTGTTTTTTTAAATAGGAAGTTAGTTTTTAATTTAATGAATGTATTAATTCTATGATTGTATTATTAATACATATTTTCATATCTTAATTTGCAATTTGTCTTCAGAAAGAATTATAGTGTTTTCCAACAGGATGAAGGGAGTACCCAACCAGTTATTACATGAAAAGTCAGTTTGATATATATTGTAGGAATGGTTGCTAAAAAGTCACCAATGACTTTATGGCATGTATTCATCATCATCAATATTTAATACTGTAGTGTAAAGGATAACAGGCTGAAAAGAAAAATCCACCTTTAAAACCTGTTTTATATTATTATAAATCATTTCTGAGAATTACTGGGTCTTACAATATTGCCAAGTGTGAAATAAAAATCTAATCCGTTTATTGCATTTGCAATGAATTCTCTATTTTGACAGTCAAATAATATACCATTGGTAGAACATCATGCTGCTGGGCTTGTTATGATTATCCTGAACTGATGCCTGGATGTTGATAATCAATATGGTTTTATTGTTAAATGATTTGGCTCCATGCAGTTCCAGGATCATGTAGGTAATCCTGTCTGCTCTTACCAAAAGAGGAAGCTGAGGGCCTTCATCCCAAGTAATACAGAGAATCAGAAATCAGACGCAATCTTTCTTAAAAGTTGCCTTTCACTAGGGAACTAGGGATATAAGATTGCATTTTATTATTTTTATTTGCATTTTATTATATTTTTATAATACAGGTAGTCCATGTCTTATCACCAGTTGCTTAGCAACCATTCCAAGTTATGATGGGCCCTCCCAAAGATACTTATGACACAGTTCCAAAGTTGTGATGGCTTCCTTTCCACAGTCACACGACCTCATTTTGGGTGCCTGAAACTAGTTCACATTTACAGCTCACTGCAGCATTGTGCAGTCACACGACCATGACTTACAATGTAAGTTTTTTTTTTTTTTTTTTTAGAAAACCAGTGTTTACTTTCAGTTTTGGCAAAAACCACATAGCGAAACAATGGGTTTACTGAAAGACCGTAGATTCACTTACTTAGCATGGCCCTTTGCTTAATGACTTCCCAAAAAAATAGTTGTAAAATTGAATCAGTCATGTGATGATCCACTTTATGATTGTCATACTTACAACTGTTCTGTTACAATCTTTGTTACAAGCTCTGTTACAATCATAAGACGAGGACTACCTATAGAAATTATGTGATTATTGTTTACCTTTATTAGTGTTTTCTGACCACCATAAGCCACTCAGAGTCCTTGAAGTCAATATTTCAAAGGGAAGCTTCCCATTTCCTATTGCCTTCCTTCAAGGCAGCAAAAATCTGGCCCCATTGACACTGCTATTGGAACCCCAACTATTTCTTTTAAGGAAGAAAAATCTGCTAGAATCAATTACACACAGACACACAAATATATATACATATATACACAAATGTATACCTACACACACACACACACACACATACATACATACATACATACAGGTATGCCTGCAATAGGAATTCACAACAATTACAATTTCTAAATGCATTGCAATACTGTATGAGCTGTTAGAAATTCCAGTTAACTTGAAAAAAAATATTAGGTTTAGATCTCAAACAAAATAAAGCTACGAATATAACTCAAAATCAGGTTGTATGGATTTTATTCATAACATAACCTAATTCAAAATTTTGCCAAGAAAATGTGGCCCCGAGATGTGTGTTTTAGAAATTCAGTCACAAATCTATCTGTCTCCTAAAATAACAGAAAAATAAGTACTTTCAATTTTCTGAACATTATGATAAAGCATACAAAGCAGAATCAAAAAAATGTTCACATTTGCAGAGCAGAAATGGTAAACATTTGGCAAGTTACAAGAAGATGATATACTAGTTTAAGGTACTGGTTTGACATTTCATTTCTACGCTGAGGCAAATATATGAGCCTTAAAACAACAAAAAGCACAAAAGTCTCACAGACTCACAAGAGATTTGAGAAATGCAATAGATTCAAGAAAAATAGCTGATACTGAAATTTAAAGCAATTAGGATAACAAATTTTGCCTTTGTAGAAGTGCTCACATTTGTCTTAGATTTGATTCTGTTCTGCTACAAATTCAGGGGATGGATTTACAGCAAGGGTAAATTATAAGAAGCAAATGTTGTAAAAATAACTCCAGGTGCAATTTCTAACACAAATATGAAAAAATAGGAAGCTCATTCAATCTTCTATCTAACAGGAGTCAAAACAGGCTGCTAATGGCTCAGCCTAGCGTTTTCCATTTTTATTTGAAGAGGGCAGGACTTAAATTTGGGGTTATTTACATAAGATCATACGCTCTGTTACTGAAGTACAGCTGAATATGAACCAAACCAAAAGAGTTAAATCACGCCTTTGGTATTTTCATATGCAAATTTCCAAAGCAAGAACACAGCCACATCCTTGAGAATGAGAATGTAGAGCTCTTTAGGCTGTGAGAATGAGAGAAATAAGCAAACTTTCTTTCAGATGCTAATTACAGGTGTACAGTCTACAGGTCTTCCTTCTTGCATTCAATCACAGTAGACAAAATTCTCTCAGGGATGTAATATAGGGTTGATACTGGGAAGAGAGATAGAATCAATAGGATCTTTAGCTTGTCCCCAGTCTAGCCCCTGCTGTGATGGTGCTGGTAGTAGCTATGAGTCCTATAGAACCACTCCTCAGAGGAGAAAACTGACCTATCTTATGACTTCAGGGACCAAAACATTTTTTTCCCTAAGGAACTGGGCAGAAATAGCCTAACATGCTACCTTTTCTCCTCTGTTTCCTTGCAAGTAATTACTGTGTAAACCTTATCACAAAGATGTTGGGTGTATTAAAAGGAAGAGTACAGAGCCTTGTAATCAAAGACTAATGAGAAGTAGAAGAAAAAGTTAGGGTAAATAAACTGGGGTTTTCTTTCTTTCTATTTCTCCTTGCTTGCTGACTTTTTAATATCTAAACCAGTGGTTCTCAACCTGTGGTCCGTGGACCCCGGGAGGGGGGTGAGAAGTGCAATGTTGTCACTAGGGTCTGCAAAGGCTTGAAGAAATGTTATTATTTAAATCTTGAATTAAGTCTTGGTGGCTCTGTGGCCAGAGTCCTTGGACACAAAAGGTTTTTAAAAGGGGTCTGTGGTGAAGAAAAGGTTGAGAACCACTGGGCTAGTGCCTGCAGAATGTCTGCGATCTGCTTTTACATGCAAATGGAAATAACATATGTTTGATAGATGAAGGTGAATGATTGCTAAGCAATTAAGAATAAAGTAAATAATAAAATAAAGCAAGATCTTTCAAAAGCACTATATTTTCAAAGCAAGTCAACAAACTAAATATTTAATTCTTCACTTGTCTTCTTGTCATCATAACTTATTCTGAGAAATTCAAATTCCATTTCTGTTTAGTGAAATTTTGCTTTGCAAGCTGGCTTATTTCTGGCATTAAAACATACTTTTCCTACTTGCTTAATCTACAAATTGCCACATACTGTTAGGATAATTACTGGCTTTTCTCTCTCTCTCTCTCTCTCTTTTTTAAAACCTACTGAAAAAGAAATGTGAAATCACATATATTTAGGAATAATACAATGAACATCCTACCTGGTCTGAGGCAGAACAGCATTTGTTGGCCATCTTCATCTGTAAAAAAGAATAGGAAGAGGTAATAATACAAAATAACTGCAATTATATTGTTATTTACAAGTTTCATTCATAATTGCATGCCTCTCATGGTAACCATGTGGTCCCAGGAAAATATGAAATTGAATTGAGGAGGCACCAACAGGATGCAGCACATCGATTGCGTCCTATTGTTATTTCCCAAATTCAAATGTGCCACAGCCGGGGTAAGTAGAAGATTGATAGTCCACTTTTCCCCCAGAAGTTCAAAGAGGGGCATTTAAACATACTTTCCTGTATTCCCCCTGCCCCTCAAAAATATCATTGTGAGGTGGGCTGGGCTGAGACTGACTGCCTCCAAATCCCCAAAACTAAGCTTTCATGACTGAGAGTGAATTTTAGTCTCCAACATCCTAGTCCACTACTTAAACAACTACAATGCAATAGCCCTCTGGCTCTGAGTAAAATCAGAATGCTGCATCTGGGCAGCAGAATATAGTTTCTAAGCAACTCTGTTATGATCTATCTGTTATGCACCATTTTAACTAAAATAATTGAGAGCAAGCAAATAACTAGAGAATAGTGTGATCCCTTCAATGTTTCACTGCTGTTGTTGATGGTCACCTTAAAGCACAATATTGGATTGAAAGAAGTTCCTGCCAATCATACCTGAAATGGAAATTCTTTGAATGAAAATAAGATACAATTGTTAAAAGAAAAATACAGCACACAGAATAAGCAAGCAAGCAGTATCAACCCCAACAGTAACCACAATGATTTTGTAAAGCAGATAAATATCTCCACTTACTAAAGATTTTAAAAGTAGGTTGACCTGTGCAAGATATCTTTTCACAGATATCTTTTCATTCAATATCTCTAGAAACCTGGCATGCTTATTTCTATGTGGCTATTTAAAAAAATTCAACAAAGCCCATGAGTTTCATACATGATCTTGGTTCTATGGTCTGTGGACACAATACTTATTTTTTTACTATATTCTTTCATGCAAATGATAAGTGAAAAAATACTTCGTAATTTAGTAGAGGCAGTAACTATATTTCTAAAGCATTTATTTGTACTGATTTTTCTATAGATCAGTTATAAGATGCACATCTATGATTTACTACGGCTGTTAATAGCACATAAACAAAATTAACCTTAATAACATGACCATCCTTATAAGGATACACTAATCTATCTACTGTAAATCTGCATTGTTTCAACTGTGTTTATGTTTGAGTGTAAATCTATTCATTAAATATTTAAATAAATCTGATATTTTTAAATGCAAGAAACTGAATTTTAATTAATACAATCATTCTAATGTGCAACCTTTGAGCCAAGAACCATACTGTAAGATCTGGAAAAGTATGTAATCCAGAGAGAAATTCTCGTTTTGATTTACACAGTAGTCCAGAAAATCCAGCTTAGATTAACTAATCTAAAATGCATATTAATGAAATTCTTCAACAGAAGACATTTCATTGGCTTTTTCCTCCAGGGCTACTGTATACTGTATGCACTAATAAATCAGGCCCTGAAAGAAAAGCAAGATATAATTCTGATAAAACAAAAAGGGTTGTTATGTACTACCATTGATTAATGTATCTTATATAGTAATAATTTGTTTTGGCTAACAAATTTCAGGATGATCTAATTATTTCTTTGTGAAACCAGTTCACCAGAGGTTTCTCTTAGTGGGATGCAAGTCGAAGCAGTACAATAAGATAATCACAGTATCTAGACAAAATGGACTACAACATAGAACTTTACAATAAAAATGTTTTAACAGGAGTTTCAGAGCAATCCTTGCTGAAAATATCATCATATAAAAATAAAACCTACACTGCACACGAAATTACTGACTTTACAATTCTCTGGGTTGTTAACCATAAAGTATCAAAAGAAGCAATGTAAGATATTCTCACAGGTTATACTGTATAGAAAAATACAAAAAAGAGCAAACAGAACTTGATTCTAAGTGGAAGTAGAAGTAGTAGTAGTAATAGGTTTAGGAACTGCCTAGAATGACAATATAGTTAAAAAAACATCCAAGATAAATAAGGAACAAGTAAAAAATAAGAAAGCAAGATAGCACAAAAGAAGTATAATGGTACAATCTTACCTGGATATATTGGAAGTATGTCTCATATATCGAACAAGCCACAATCCTAAAAGATATTGCCTTTGTCTTAAAACTATATATTATTACAATGATTAACATGTTAATTAAAAAACTTAGATTAAGAACTGCTTTTTTCACAGCAAATCAAAAAGTAGAACATATATTGTTCTGTCATTGTCAAATGCACATTATCATTGTTAAGTCCTCGAGTTAATGGCGAAAGAAGAACACGCATTCTGTAGCCAACAACTGTTTATTCATCTTCTGCTCACTCCAACACAACTCTGAGGCTCGCAGGCCTCTCTCTAATTAAAATAGATTCCCGGGCAAAAAGGTTACAATGAGAAAATGGCGCGCTTTCGAGCCTTGCGCATGCGCGCAGGCTGGCGCTGCTTAGTCTGGTCCCGGGCAACTTGCAATAGCCCAGGACCATAGCAACGTCCCGAGCCTGCTTTTGTAGGCTCAGGACACAACACCCCTTTCCCCCCAGATAAAGCTTACTCTATCCATATATGCGACCTCTCTGAAGGGACGTGGTATTCTCATTCAGCCTTGAAATGCATGGACTGTGGATGTTATTCCAGGATCACACTTTTGTATGGTACCGTGCTATCTTTTTGGAATTATGTTGCCTTACACTCACAATTCCAACTACCCCATTCAGTTATAGTATAGCTGCTTTGTGTTTTCCTTAAGTTGACAGCAACGTCACAAACTCTTTAAGGTATTTGGGTGGGTGTTTAGCCCTTTGTGACCTCCTCAGACCTTGGGAACCCCTTGGTTTTCCTGTGCCATTATGCAGGTTGAGTTGCCCCCTCTTTGCTGCCCTGGTGGTCCCCGTGACCTGGGTTCTGTTGCCTGGTCTGCTTGCTCACCCACCAGGCTTGGCAGACCAGGACTTTGCTCCTCCCCATACCTGGTTGATCTGCCTGAGTGTAGGCTGTCTGGACCCTCTGAGTCCCACCCAGTATTTTGTGGACTTGTGATATTCTCCAGGTCCACAATAGACCCATCTTGGGAGCATAGTCCCTCACTCCCAAGCCCCGTAGCAGGGTTGTCCAGGGTACCTGCGGTGCCCCAATACCCTATTGCCTCCCATTCTGTGCCGGAGGAGGTACCAGAATCAGGATTCACCTCTCTGACTACCCCCTTTTTTACTGATTTCCTTCTGGGAGCAATTGCAGCATTTGGCCAGTTTCTTTGAGTGGATGCCAGTTCTCTTGTAGGTTTTGGATTGTTTGGATATTCCCCGTTATTCTCCCTATCTGGAGTGCTGAATTGAGTTTGTGAACAGTGCGGTTACTCCCTGGGTAACTCCCTGGCTGGAGTAAGTAGTGGTGTGTGCATTGTTCCTTGTCCCCATGAATTCCTGTTGGGCACACTTGCGGAACCTTGGGAGGGGACTTCCCCTGCCTCTTCATTTGCCCTTGACTGCTGACAGCGACCTTCCCTCTGCACACTATAACCCTCCTCTCCCCCAGAGAAAAACCAGGAGTGGAAGAGGAAGAGTCCAGTCGTGAACGCAGCTGGTCAATGTGCCACTGTAGAATGCGGCCATCGTCCAAGGACACCTCGTAGGATAATGGATCAGAGACCTTGCAGACCACAGCTGGAATCCAAAGATGACCGGGCCCGTAGTTCCGGGTCCAAACCGGAGCGCTTACTTGCAAATACCTTGGTGCCCTTGGCTGTGAAACCAGAGGCGCCACCCTGTCAGGGTGCAACCTGTCAAGTTTAGTTATCAGTCTGCGACCCCAGCGGAGTTCTGCTAGGCTTTTCCCAGTGGAAGTACAAGGTGTGGTGCGGTGTGCAAGAAGAAAATCTGCCAACTTGTGATGCCAGTCACCGTAAGTCAGTTTCTTGAGGGCGTCCTTGGTGATGTGCACCATTCGTTCAGCCATACCGTTGGTGGAAGGGTGGAAAGGGGCCGAAGTCGCATGACGGATCATGTTGGCCTGAAGAAAAGCCTGGAACTCAGAAGAAGTGAATTGAGGACCGTTATCTGAAACCAGAACATCTGGAAGGCCGTGTGCTGCAAAAATTCCTCTCAACACCTGGATGGTCCTGGCAGTAGTAGTGGAGGACACAGGAACAACCTCTAGCCACTTTGAATGACTATCAACAAGGACCAAGAAGAATTGCCCCTGAAAGGGCCCAGCGTAATCTATATGCACTCTGGACCAAGGTGATTGTGTTTCCTCCCACCTATGCACAAGGGCCTGAGGCATTTCTGGCCATGAGTGCTGACACAAGTGACACCCGTGCACCTGGGCCTCTATATCCTTGTCTAGCCCAGGCAAGCGCTTTCAGCCTGACAATGCCAGGATGACCCTCATGGAGAGAGACCAAGATTCTCGGTCTCAATGAGGTAGGAATAACTACCCTGCTGCCCCACAACAGGCAACCCTTAAAGGTGGATAACTCATGCTTCTTGAGCCAGAAGCTTTGGAACTCAGTACCTGGACTTCTGTCAGGCCATCCAGACAAAACCCATGAAAGCACACGTGTAAGTGTGAGATCTGTGGCTGTTTCTGCAGCCACATCCCTGGCATTGAGGGGAGATTCAGGCAACTCCTGAATGGAGAGAATATTGATGGCAGGAGCAGGGTCTGCTTGTACCAGCTTCAGAGATAGTCTGCTTAGGCCATCAGGGTGGCCCATTTCCTTACCAGGTTTGTGAATTAAAGAATGATCATATGCAGACCAAAAAATAGACCACCTCAGCATTCTAGGGGAAATAATGTGAGGTGTTTGTTTGTTGGTGGTAAACAACCCCAGCAGAGGCTTATGAAATGCTGGCCATATAAAAAATCATGGAATTTCTTAACTCCCGCTACTATAGCCAATGCTTCCCTGTCTATTTGAGCGTAATTACACTCAGCAGAAGACAGAGTCC